CATTTCCGGAAAAATCTGTCAGACACGTAGGTTGTGATGTCAAAACGGACACGAAAAGTGGGTGAAACATGTATGTCATGATGTTAACCATGATGGATGTTACCAACCAGGATAACTAGAGCCCCACTTAATCACAACAGACAAGGGCCATGAGTGGATCCTGCCTCGGTATACAGTCACGGTTCCGTGTTATGTCAAGGTCTGGATGTATACCTACAAGAAAGCCTTCAAGCACATCCTCATGGCGGGGGTTCTTCAACAATGACCCTAATTACGATAATGTGGCGTGCAAACCCTGCGGATCTGCCGTTGGGGTTTTGGAACCACTCTAAAGTCTCTTCGGGCGGGGGGTGCTCTCGATGTTGTCAAAAGCACAAATTGTGAGTGCATAGGCTGCATAGGTTATTGAGATCTAGAGAGCGGATCGGAGGACTCGTGGAAAAGATGTGGTCGTAAGTTCCAAGCCTATCAAGGCCGGTACCCCTGCAAAACAGGGCAAGGACCTATGATGAAAGGTTGTGCAAAAACTTGGTAATCGCAGGCGCAGTTCTGGCCAAGCCCCTTCATCAGGTCCCGCAGCACGTTTCATGTACAAGTTAAGCACACCTGCTCCGGAGATGCCTTTGAGAAGTCACTTTCAATTTCTCTCCAGGCGGCCCTTGAGCTATCACCACGGTGTCACACTGGGTGCCGCGGCCTTCGCAGCGGCTGGCTGCAGGGCACGGCGAAGCGATCGAAGCCGAGGCAAGTTTGTGTGTGTGTGTGTGTGTATATAAGATTGTGTAAGTAATGCTGCGCTGGCGGCAAAAGAGGTCGGCAGGCTGGAGTTGCGAGAACTTGTGTAAACGGCTCGAGTGCGGAGACTTTGACTCCTGTAATTGAGTGTGCAAGTTGGCAAGTTGATTTTGCGATATGGAAAAATGACATGACGACACTTCACGGATGATGGCCTACGGCGCAGCCGCATCATCCGTCTGTTTGGGCGCGTCGGGGTGGAAGGGGGGGTTGCATTCTAGGTGTGCCGAGTATGCAGACTGTCGGCAGCCTCGCCAACTGGGAAAATCCAGACAGAATTGGTTGTGTGATGTTGTGGCTTGCGATGACTTCACTTCTTCTGCATTCCGACCTGTTATTTGCTGTTCCTTGCGGCCCCCCCCCTTTGCAAAGGGCAGTTTCCTCAAAAGATCAGAATCCAGGTAGCATCGTGAATTGCACACCATCTGTCTGATGACTGCTTCCCAGATTACTCCCAGCGTCTCTCCCTCTCTGAATGGTCGTAGTGTTTCGGCCTTGTTGTGGCCCTCCTTGACTCATCGACTTCACATGCCCTCACTGAATGAATCTGTAATCCATTGTTTTTAGAACAGTTTACACATCTCTAGTTCATAGTACCTCGGAACTTCGTACAAGGTGCTTTTTGCAAGGTGTTTGTAGTACCCTGTATTACCAGAAACCGTACCGGTACCGGCAAGATACACGCAGCAACCACTGAACTTTACGTCCTCATCCAACCCTCGGTGCTGACGATTTTCGGGCCGTTTGCACACCGGTCTGACTGAGGCTTTGCTTCAAGGCTTATTGGCACCACTTTCGGGCTACGATAGGTCCTGGGCCTTGCCGCGACTTTCTGCAACAACCTCTGGAACCTCAGGCTTCTCCCGACATGCTGCTGGAGCCGGCACAGCGAGTGCTAGTGCGCCAAAGGCCCTTGTCCGCAGATTATTGTGCGAGGAGTGTCAAGTCTGGAAAGATTTATGGAACTGAACTTCCGGTCTGCTGTTCTGAATCTTCGACGATGTACGCACCGGCAAGATAGGTTGAGGTTAGGGTTCATATGTTCGGGATGTGTAGGTTATAGGGTAAGTGATTTTGGCGGCTGAGTTGTGTTTGTTGGTCATCTTCACACCGGGGCATCTAAGTCCCTCCTTTCTGAATTGCAGCACTTTATGCAGAGATTCAGGAAAGTCACTGACTGTTCAATTGACCGTAGATGACCGGTGAAAGACTCGAAACTCCATCCGAAATCCCAAACCTCAATCCTCAAGGCCTTCAACTCCAGCCCTATGCCCAAAGCCTTGGATCGGAAGCAGGCTTGAACGGACAGTAAGGCTTTAGTCTTGCGTATTTACTGTTCAGGACATTAGGTTGTCGGGTTTGGGGTCTGTCGGTTCTCTGTGGGGATCGCAAACGTATCATGTCTTATTCGCACGACGCGGGGCCACACGCGTTTGCTTTGGGAGTTGCAGGGCTTGTGCCGGCCTCCTCGTGTTTGAAACCATAAGATGCCCGCCACACCTGTCTAGTCCTTTGTGCACCGATGTCACCTAATCTTGGAGCCCAGTTCGCGGAACCTGAAAATCCTTTCGAGAACATGTAGTGTTTGACACACCTGCTTCTTCAGTGCGCAGTGTCGCACAGCAAGAGCAACTTGTTGGCGGCGGTCGTCGTGGTAGTCATCTTGTTCAACGATGTCGTGGTAGTGGCAGCCGTGGTCTTGGTCGTGTTGGTGATGATGGGGGCAGGGTTTTGCGGAAGCAGTAGTGGCAGTGGCAGGAGGAGTTGTGATTTGCAGCAGTAGCAGTAGCGGCAGCAGCAGCGGTAGCAGCAGAAGCGGCAGCAGGAGGAGGAGGTGGAGCGGGAGTGGGAGCCGGGAGCAGGAGCAGAGGAGTGGAGTCGGAGGAGTCGGAGTAGGAGTAGGAGCAGCAGTAGTAGTAGTCGTACTAGTAGTAGTCGTCGTAGTAGTAAGCAGCAGCAGGAGTAGTAGTAGTAGTAGTAGTAGTAGTAGTAGTAGTAGTGTAGTAGAACTGGTAGTAGTATTGGCAGTAGTGGAAGTAGTGGTCGTAGTGGTAGTCGGCGGGAAGGAAGGCAGGTAGGCAGGTAGTCGGTGGGAAGAAAGGTAGGTAGGCAGGTAAGTATAGCAGTAGAAGAAGTAGCAGTAAGTGGTAGTAATGGTAGCGGTAGTAGCAGTTGTGCAGTGGCAGTAGTAGTCGTCGTCAGTGTGGCGGCGGCGGCGGCGGCGGCGGTGGTGGTGGTGGGGTCGTCCATACAACAAGTGGGAAGGTAGGTCGTGAAGAGGAAGCCACGTTTAATTCTCGAGCGATCCGCCTACGCGTTCCTGTTTTAGCTGTTCTTGAGACTGGCCTGGACCGCAGAAGCTCAGGGTTGAGAATTTAGTTTTGCTTGGCTATGGTTGAGGGTCCAGTTTGGAGGTCCGGAGTCGCAAGATGAACCCTGTAGGTAGGCCTTACCTCAAGGCCCTAGAACGCGAGACTTGAAAGCCCCAAGCTCTGCAAGAGTGAGCGCAGATACTTACAGGTAGTCTTGATGGGGGACTCAGTGCTGGACAACTTCTTCTGGACACTTGTCTGCTATCGCAATTGGCATGCGCGAAGGACCTAAACTGTATTTGTGGTTTAGCTTCTGCACGTGTGAAGGTCGTGCGATGTAGTGTAGAACTGAGCAACCCAAACCTCAGTGCTTGAACAGCTTCTAAACCCCCTCATGCCTTCTTTCTTTGAGCCGACTGAGCCCATCAATGTCAGCTTTTGGGACCCAATTCTCGAGAAGGAGAAAACATCGTAGCCGGCATGCGAAAACATCAGTAAGCGTGCTTGGTGTTCACAGTTCAGGTACGCAACACTGACGCTAGAAAACACCGAGGATGGTAGAAGGAGGAAGAACAGCAATCATGGTAGTTATTGGAAACACACAGAGAGAGCCACAGCGACAGCAGTGCGACCATTGGTAATCGAGCAGGGTTAAGCGATTAAGGATAATAGCTGCGCGAGCAGCAGGCGGGACTGCATGGCTCCAGTCATTACGGGAATGATTGATCCTCATGGGCTTTCCGTTATCCTCCAACAATGACTTGATTCGGAGTTGGGATCTAGAAATGGATGTTTAGTTCATGCTCTCGACCCCTATGAAACCCAGAAGCAAGCACTGTAAATTAGCCAAGCTAGGTTGGAGACTCCATCGCGGCCGCTTCGAGTCCAGCTCCAGGATATTCCTTTTGTGATTTCAGAGACCTCGGAACCCTGACAGGGTTTGAATGCTTCTCAGGCCTGCATTCGAGAAAGCATCCCTTTGTGTTGATTTTACATAGGCTATCCAGGCAATGTTCTTTCTTCCACCTAGAAAGGCTTACGGCGCAAAGGCCTCCGACTTACCCAGACCACAATGGCTCCGAATGCTGAGTTCCACTTCGCGAGTAGTGCGTAATGTTCGTACTTGGTTGGAAGATGCTGATGTACTACTTGTAGCAAAGACTCCAGCAGTTGCAAAACTGTTAACAACAGTTGGTAGTCCATCGATCTCAGAAGTCAACCGGAGTGACGGCACTGGAAACCCTGGAACCCTGAAAACTGAGAGTGGGGACAAGCTGTAGCTCAAAACCGCTCCTTCAGAGGAGACGTTGGGCAAGAGCCGGGATGCAAAGGTCAGGCCCTTGACGGGGTTTGCAGGAATAAGGCTTAAATGGACCTAGGCACAAGGACAAGGGACCCGTTTTGGACTTTCTTCAAGGCGATCCTTGCTAGGATGTAAGCAGTGTTCAAGATAAAGATACGGGACCCTGTCGAGGTCATCAACTTCATAGCATGCTCGCTCTTGACAATATCTCGCTCCGTAGTCCTGGCTGCTTTATGAATGAAAGGGTTCCCGAAACTTTCGAGCCCCACTCACAAACTCCAGAAATATTCGGATCCGCATGTAGAATCCCGCATAGAGCCATGGGTTCCTACTGTTGGTTCCTACATCAGGCTAGAAGGCTTCTTGTGGCTGTGCGCTCAGCTGCAGAACTGCAAATACTGCAAAACCCCACGACCACACTGTCATGGGTGTTTCTGCCACAAGATACAATATTGACAGACATACATTGTATATGCCTAGAATGAGGTTCGACAGCTTCAAGTCGTCAACTTGGCAGTGGACCCGTGGCCTTCTTGGGATGTGGAAGTTCGGGATTTGGGATTTCGGCAGCTTGACTGTTGTCGTCGGGCATGGCTTGCGTTGCGGAGGTCCTTATAGCGGTAACAAGGATCCTCTTGTTCAGAGTCCATACTGGGGGCTAACATGTTATGCCAAGATGCCATCTAAAACTGTTGTGGGCACTGCCCGCAGGACTGGTGGTAAAAGAGCATGGTGCATATAGCCCGGAACCTTTCATTCCTAGCTGCGCAGGACCAGATGACGACCTTCGACTTTGAGGAGCGCAGCGCATCCGCTGCCAGGCTGCAGAAGCCCCAAGACAGTCACGGCAATTGACTTAGAGAATAGGTTTTGGGGGCTGCGGGATCAGACTTAGAGGCTTTGGAGTTTAGGTTAAGGGTTTGAGGTTAAGGGCGCGGTGTCTCGGCTCAAGGGTAAGGTTTTGATATTTGAGGTGTTAATTTCTGGACTTGGACTTGGGCCTCGCCCCTGAAACATGAGCTCAACCCCAGCCTGAGCCTTAGTCCTGAAGTTGAGCCCTGCGACCTCCCGCAGTGACGTCTACCTACAACCGACAAAGCAGGTGTAGGGCGAATCGAAGCCAAGCTTCCTCCATGCAGGAACTAGGGGTGTAGCAGAACCTCGACCTAGTGTTTCGGTGGGGTCCGAATAAGTTGCAGGTCCAAGCTTGTATTTTCAGAAATGGGCTCAGGGCTTCCGCCAAACCCTGCCTCGGGAACGCCTCAACTGCCCGGTGCCAGAAGGTGGAAGACCTCGCGCACAAGAGAGTGGTTCTGCGTGCAATAGCTACAGAAGTCCGATTATTCAGTCGACATAGGTATCACTATCGCACACGAGAGGGGGAGAAGCGAATGGCATGCTCCCCTAAGTACTAAGGTGACATGGAGCCCAAACAGCCTCCGATTGAAACGCAATTATAGCAAGGTGCCCCGCTTCGGGTTCCACGTTTGCTCAGCCGCCAATGCAGCGGATTGCTGAGGAGTATTCTTGTGCATAAATCCAAAATGAAAGGGCCTACTCCAAAAATGCATACTGCTCTTGCCCAGCACTAGACCGTATGCCCAACGGCCGTACACCAATAACCCTGAAACCGCTATAATCTGAACCGCAAATACCTCATAAAAGAGGTGGAAGATCGGAGCCCCCAAAGGCGAATCCCTGGGACGTCTACGCCCAAGCTCGGGAGAAGGTTGATTTCGAGGCGGAGGAGGCCAGGGGCGTACTTTTGTTTTGGCGGTGTTCTAGTTTAAGGCGTCGCATGAGGTTTTAGGGCTTACTTAGGTGGTGAAACATGGAACCCCGAAAGCACAAGCCTTCAAGCGCTACAGTGCCTAAAGCCGTAATTAAAGCCGTAAATTGAAATCGTGAGCCCTACAGCCCAGCAGAGCTGCGACCCTCAACCCCGAATTTCAGCCCGCACACCGTGAATCCGGGGGGCTCGTGGGCTCAAGCGAGTGAAGCCCCGAATACTCTGTCGGCCCCAAGAAAGCGACTAACTAATGAATACTGTTCGCTGACGCCCAGAAGTTTGGTGCTTTTTGATGGATAGAAAAGACAAAATGTCCCAAATGTGCGCCTTAGGGACTTGGAATCCGCGGCTCGCGGTTCAGGCTGTAGTTTCTTATTGCAGGGGTTGGTCCAGGTGCTTTTGGTCTGTGGTGCCTCGCATCCGCTTGCAAGCTTAGGTAATTTTTCGGTAGCTTGGCAGAGCCATGCCCGAATTGTCCGACTGTTGGGTCATCAATGCTTCCCATTCTCAGGCTCATGATGGGGTCAACATCCGTGACATGAATACTGCACCAGAGTTACCGAGGCATGCGCATGGAAAATGCCATGCTGTAGCTCTTGAAGCTCGCGTAGTGAAGCCCTCACCCTGTGTATGGAATCTGAACCTGTAAGCCTTAAACCTTAGATGCGAGTCTCACCAGCTCAACCCTTGATCTTTGAAAGGACAAAAAGTACATGGTGGACAAGGATGGCATCATCCGGTCTGTCAAAAACTTGAGCCCTGGTCTAAACGACGATGAAAAGCACCTAAGCCCAAAGTCCTGAACCCTCAGCATTATTGGGTCCTGGAGTATTGTGCTATTTTCAAGCAGGTTTTGGAACCATTGCAGAAGAAAAGCTCAGATATTTGCAACATATTTGTATCATTTGCATCCTTGGTTACTGCAGAGTACAGTTTTTCTGAAAACAGCTTGTCGCCCCAAGGCCTTCGGATTCGGGCCTTCGGGTTTGGGATCGATTGCTCAAGCCTTTTGCAAGTTAGAGCTTTGGGATAACTAGGAGGGACCTTCTGGTTTTGGACAGGAAGTTGCCAAGCCCGCCCGGAACCCGGCTCCATCACCAACCTGGTCACATCGTGCCATTCATTATCTAGCCGTCGTTGTCAAGTGGCCCGTGTCGCTCGCACAAAGCTACCCATGTGGTTCTGCACGGAACCTCAGGGCTTGTGCGGCTAGTTCTGACTTGAACACCTCATGCACCAGTCTAAAGTTTAAACTCTATAGGCCCTACTTGCACCGAAGGGGCTTAACAACTGGTGAACCCTCGCACACCCTCACCCTCAGATTTTAGTCTAAAGCTCGGGCTTGGTGTGAGAAACCAGGAAAAGTCTCAGCAACGTCCGGTGGGTCATTCTTTCCCTGGGCGGCAATGCGTCTCGACACCAGAAACGATGTTAGGGTGTAAGGGTGGAGAGCTTCGGGGATTCAGGGTTTCAGAATTTTGGTGCATGGGGCGTGGGGCTTTTATTTCAGGGTTTTATTTTGAACGAAAAGGATCGAAAAGGCAAACATGAAAAGGGGACCATCTAGCATCCTGCAAGAAGCGCTCGTTAGGTAGGTATTTGTACGACCTGAAACTCGTTTTCTAGCCCGCTACCAGGATGCTTCCAAGCAGCCTAGTGGCTTAGTGTGCGTAAGTTGCCTTTCAGCCTTAAAATGTAATGCCCAGAGAATATCCACGCTATCAATAAGCCAATAAGTCTAGAATCCCGAACCGAAGCGAAACCTCATTTAGCACAGCATTTTTTAGTGCACACATGGAGAAGTTCGTAAAGGCTCAGCCCAACCTTAGCTTGAATCAACTTGTGGGCTGTAGGGTTCACGGTTTGAGGCTTCGCTTTGGTGTTTTTGATGTGCGCACTTCCTCGGACAATGCTCGATCCAAGAACTTGCAGCCCCTAACTCAGAGCAGCTCCCATCGGCGAGATCTGCGACCGGAGGGAGCCCCTAGCCTGACTAAGCCTGGGCAGGGCCTACCCAGAATCAGGAACGGATGCGAACGTCATCGGCATCTGCAGCGATGTGAATTTGCAGCCGCGAGATCTTCAAGCATGTGTGTTTGCAATAAACCTGGAACAGCTAGCGGTTCATCAAATAATCGAATCTCTAAAGCCTACCGATGTCAAGAAGAATCCCCAAATCTTAACCTACAGAGGGCTTGGATCCCCTGCTTTCGCCGAGGATGTGTACCTCAACTCCGGGGTCAAGACGAGGTTGGTCAACTCCCTCGTCCCGGGGTCGGAGGGCGTGCGGAAGGAGGTGGGGGTGGGTGTACGATACGGGGGCCTGAATAACCAGCAACACTCAGTTACACTATTCCAACTTGTTCCATGATATGGGTATACGGAATACTGTTAGACAGCTCGGAATAATTCACGCTTGGGGTTCAGGATTTTCGAGCGAGGGTTCTGGTTTTCTGGCAATGCAGGTATTGAGCGAGCAAGCGGCAATCTTATCCCTTTGCAATCTCCAGCATCAGCCCAAAGACTTTACTTATACCCACAGACACTACTCCTGACAATGTGGTCCCATGCACAGTAGCGGCGTTGGATGACCACTAGATCGACCTGTCGAAAAAAATGCAACCCGACTTATGCCATGCGAACTCCTAGCAACCGCTTGAGGGACAAGAGGATCTAGGAGTTCCTCAATCCCCTCGGAGAAGGAAGATCCAGCAATCACAGAAGCTTCCATTTTGGCAAACTCAAGCCAGGCCCGTAAACCCCGCTGAACACCAGAAACCCGTCCGAAAATCGCCCACAAGCCTTCCGCCCCTGAAAGCCTCAAACTGGAAGTGCCGCAAACGAAAACTTAAAGCCATCTCGAAATCCTTTAGTGCAAGGCCCTAGAGCCCTAAAACTCCCCAAAGGAAGCACAAAAGGTCTTAAATCCACGGAGAGAACGACAGCCCTCAACCCTAAAAGGCTCGAAGGCTCGATCTTTCTCAGGAGCAGAGCACTCCCAAGGATACCTCAGTAGCCGCTTGCTGCCTGCAGCTCGAACAGGACGCTAGAAAGAAAGGAAGGCAGGCTTGATTTCTGCTGCCGTAGCTCCAGACCCATATCAGAGGGTTGAGCAAGATGGCTCGGTGGATGAATAGATGGATAGAGATTGATGGATGGGTACGTAGACGGATAGCTGGATGGATGGATGGGTTCTTGTATGAATACGTGGATACACGGATTGTTAAAAAGCTATGTGCTTATGTGGTCATCTTGGAAACCTCAAACCCGGCTAAGCGCCCAACAACAGCGTCGTGAAGGTGGCCAAAGAGTTCGGCGCGCGGCTGAAAAAGGCGGCAGAGCAAGCAATGCGGCTGCAGACGGCGGGGTTTTAGGGTTTGAGGTTGAGGCATAGCCTCGAAGGCTGGTTTAGGATTTTAGGCCTTGAGCCCGAAGGTATTAGGATCTCGGGTATAGGGTATATAAGCATAGGGTGTTTGGGTTAAGGCTCAAGAGTTTGCTGAAGGTTTAGAGCTTGAGCGTGAGGGCTGAGATTTCGGGGTGACGAGCCTGGGGATTACCGTTTAGAGTCTCGACATGTATTGTTTAAGTTTGGAGTTCAGGCTTTGGGTCTAAGGTGCTGGAGCTTCGAATCAAGGCTTGAAGCTTTACAGGCTTTGTTGGCTTCAGGCATGGGGTTCGGCGTTCCGGATTTTTGGCCGAAGGCTTGAAGGGTTTAGTTTCAGATTCGAGGTTTGTGGTTTGAGGACTTGTGTGGGATTCGGGACGTGGACTCTTGAGAGGGTGGAGGGCTTCTCCTTTCACGATCTAGGGCTTAGGGCTATAGCCAGTTCTAGCTTCTCGGAGGTTTCTGTTTAGGTTTCACGGCTTATGACGGCATCAGGTTCAGAAGGCAGCGCCTGACGCCACGCTGGTCCTCGTGGTGCCGTACCAGCCCCACGAGGCGCCACTTTTCCCAGCACCAAACCTGGAATGAGTGCATGCATGGTCACACACATAGCATATTCGTGCATGTATATGTATATATATATATATATATACACACACACACACGCTCGCGCACGCGCGCGCATCTGTTAGTATGTATATACACATGGGTGTTCTCGCCCTTGTCAAGACCCTTCGAAGGCGCTGCACGTGAAGATCCTAAAGACAATGATCTCTCAAATCCTATTCACTGGTACCGGTTCGAAGCAGGAGTTTTCGTTGCTGGCGGGTGCGCCGATCAACGACGAGGGGTCGCGTATCTACGGGGAACCCCGGGCGTTTTAGGAGGGTTCCCTGTTGTTTTTGGAAAGTTTCGAGGTTTGGAGTGTTAGGGTTTTGGAATAGAGTCTCCGGGCTCAAGTTTAGTGTTTCGGTTTCGGGGTGCAGCTTCCAGGCTCATGTTTGGGGTGTTTTTGGAGCTCGGCTTCTAGACAATGGCAGAGCTGAAAAGCGTTTTTTGAGACTTGAAACTTGTAGTTGTTTGCGCTGTGTTGGTGGGCTGGGTGTATGGGGGGGGCACAGGTTGAATCCTGTAGGCAACTCTAGGCCTCTACGACACTGTAAGGCCCGAGGCCCTCAACCCCTGATTCCCAAACCCTCTGTCCATTTTTGGCCAAACTAGTCCTGCCATGGGGATTTCATGACTTGCTTGCAACACGCCACAAAGCTCCTCAAGCCAGGTTCTTTCGGGCTTTTTGGCTTCAGGTGTCAGCTTTGAGCTGAGAGTTTATAGGCTGTTTATAGGGCTCAATGACTTGCGGCACTCTTTCTCCGTTCATCGCGTCGGGAGAGGGGGTCTAATGTCCGAATCCTGGTCTCTGTACCATTGCGACAAACTCGCGAACCCGAAAACCTCAATCCCTTCACCAAGAGAGCTCGTCAGCTCCACGACTCCCAAGAACAAAATCCCTAACCCTACGCTGTGACCGGACACCTAGTCCGTAAGCCCCATCCCTATACCCTAAACCCCAATCAAGCCTAACTGTTTGATCAAGCCGTCTACACATCCCAGGACTTCTTGGGGGATGGCGCCCGTGGCCTCGAGAGACAGCTCCTTCCCGACCTGGTCACGCCCATGGTTACGGAGCGCTTACTCGTTGCCTCAATGCTTGAGTTTCCTAGGCTTACCTCTGTCCCTTGTGGCTGGGATGTAGATGACATGGCGGCAGGGGTTGCAGGCACCCAGTTAAAACCTCAAACACATAACCTTGAATCCAAAGATCTATAAATCCTGGTGCACGCGCGTGCGCACATTGATCCCCAAGATCACGCGGCCTAAAATCTAAGGCCCGCAGCCCTCTCTATCCCTACAACACCGTAGCCGAGTTCTTTGAACACTAAACCTTTCAAAATCCAGGAACAAGCCTGCGTAAGTTGGGCGGTGGCGATTTCAGAGGCCGGTGATCAGAGATGAGCCCAACCTCAAGGGCCAGAGCGTGGATAGGAGTCCTGTTTTGGAGCTTCAGCGCTGAACCCCTCAAACCCTAAACCACTCCCTAAAGCCTTAAAGGAAAGCCCCCAAATCAACCGGCTCCACACCACAGGAGATCCTGACGCTGGCCCAGGATCTGGATTGTCCGGCAGCTATGTCGCAGCCAAGTTGGCCTGGGTCTAAGGTTTATTTAAGGGTTGTTAGCCTTTGAAGCGACGCCCGTCGACTCAGGGCGTCGTTTTCCGGTTGGACCCTGTTGAGCTTCGACATCGGCACGGTACAAGAGGTAAACACATCGGTCTTTTGCTCCTGCGGCTGCGATGCTGTCGCTGGCAGCTGTGCTCGTGACCACTTCCAGCACTTGTAGTTGTAGCAGCGGCATTAACAGCAGCAGTTGCAGTGGCAGTGCTAGTAGCAGTAGTTGAGGGGCAGCACTGGTAGCAGCACTTGCACTGGCCTGTAGTAGCATCAGTAGCAGTGGCAGTAGCAGAAACAGTAGCAGTGCTAGCATAAGAAGCAGAAGCTTTAGTAGCAGACATTTTTGCTATTCGTAGTAGCAAAAGATAGTAGTGGCAAAGTAGCAGATGTAGTCGCGGTGGCACTTGCTGTTGTGGCCACAGCAGTAGTGGGCGGACCAGAACGAGCAGCAGCAGGAGGAGGAATCCAAGATAGCGACGACAGCAGCTATGCATCGAAATACAAATTAGCTATTTCGTCGGAGCGGTTTGTTTCTGTACATCCGGATTCACTCGGGGTAAGCTGCAGGGGCGTGCGGGGTTCAAGGGCCTGTCCTTAAGGTCCCAAGCCAGGAAACGGGGGAACATGATCCAAAGCACCTCAGGATTGGCGTTGCGAGTTGTTGGTCCCCAGTCCCAGGTAATTGACCTGTCCCAGACCTTTGATTCCAGCATGGAGGAGCCTTGGGCAGAGATTGTTGACATTCCTCACGGTTCAGGAATCAGGATGTTTGGATGTTTGTTGGTGTTGATGTGTAAACGCTTTGAGAAGTTGTTTTTGAGGCACCACACCCTAACTTGATCAAGTCTACCATTGTTTTTCTTGATCCAAAGGCTCAGCTATGTCCAAACCACGAACCTCAAGGCCAACGAATCCTCAAGAAACTCCGTGCCCTGTAGCCCCGGGCCATAGACAAATTGCAAAGAAACAACTGTCCATCTATCCGAGGGCTAGATCTATTTCTTATCCACATCCATGCTGACATCGCTATATTCCGTTTGGGTGGTAACCCTGGCACACAAGTCAATATTGGACAGGTTGTCAGGTTGTTTTACAGCATTTTCGCCCGGAAGCGCCAAAATCCTATAAATTTCAATCAGGAGCATTACGGCACTGGAGAGATTGGTCGCGTCAACAGCCTTGGCACGCCCTGGAGTGGGGCCGAGCCCAGCGATGTTCGGAACTCAAGGAACACTGGCCAAAGCAGTCTAGCGGCGAAGGTCAAGCTCGGCTTGCAGTTTAATCAAAATGGATTTGCGGCACATGTGTAGATATAGATGTCAATCACAGGGCACAACAGCTGCTATGAGGTGTTCAACCAACCTGTTTGGCGTGTACGGATCTTGCAGACGGTTCTGCATTCTGGGAAGATCCATGAACCTGAAGCCAAGCTTGCCCAGAATCCCCAAGCAAAATGTTAATCTTGAAATCCTATGTCGAAGCAAGCATGGGGGCTGTTCTGCCTTTCTGAAGCCCTCTTACTCCGAGGTGCCCATTCTGATTGTGGTCTGCGGTAGTTCGGGATCCAAGTAGAGAAAATGTTTCAGAAGAGCCCCACATTGCGAGAGCCCATTCCTACAGACGGTGGCAATCTGATGTATACCATCGCCGGCCCGGTTAGACACTATCGTGACAGTCCCCCGGACACTTCAACCTGGAGCTTTGAGTGGCAACGGGCCTAAAGCCCCTAAAACCCAAATCTCAACATTCTCAACAAACTACCGGCCCCGAACGTCTATCCAGAGTTTCTAGAATCCAGGGCTAGGGTGCAAGGCACCGTCTATTCTTTTGAAAAAGCATCTCTGGCTAGGTCTCCAGCAATTTCATCGCACAGCTGATCGCCAATGCCATTGCCGCTTGCTGTGCTGTTTCAGTTCAAGGCCTAGAGAGTGTTTGTGTCTGTGTCTGTGTCTGTCTGTGTTTACGATTGAGTGCTTCACCCCCCACAGCAAAAGCCTCCAAACAAATATTGTTGCTAAACTCTGAGCCCCACCCTAAACCCTAACCCTAGTTGAGCTGTAGGAGACTTGGAAGTCCCACTGTGTAAGGCCTACAACCACAGCGTCTAGAAACAAGGGCTCGTAGCTGTTCGAATTTAGGGCCTGGGGTTTGCAGGGTTTTGGATCTGAGTGATTAAGGTTTTAGTCTGAGTGAAGGTCTGGCTTTGGGGGGGGAGTCGGAGTTGGTATCAGGATGAGGGGCTGAGGGTTATGGCTTTGGGTTATGTACCGGGTTCAGTGCGGAGCCATAGCTGGGCTCGATGGGTTTTGTAGATTGCAGTCAGCTTGTCCTGGGAAGCCCAAAGCTAGCTAGTGCACCTTGCGCGGCGTTTTTCAGTTCCTACGAACAAAATACGTCAGATGGAAGCTCCTGAGAGACCTACCGTGATTTGCACAGTCCTCAGCGGCAGCTTTGCCAGGTGGGAGTTTGAGTTTCCTTCCTTAAGTTCGCCTCAAAAAGCCAAGCCCCCCCGCCGAGGCGCAGGGGAAAAAGTCCGTGCTCTACAGCGGGAACCCTCGACAGGCAGGAAGGGTATGGGCTTGTAGTTGTTTCTTGATCGTCCGGGGTTCGCAGTGGCTGCAGACGTCATGGAGCAGGAACGAACCCTCAATCCCACTAGCCTTGTAGCAGCTAGCCATCATACTGTTTGTCTCCGTACAACCCTGGATACTCCCGGGGTAGAGAAGCGAGTCTTCCTAACCTTCAGGTGCGCAGCACAGACAGCACTTTTGGGTAAATACGACCAAACCTCAGATCGCTGCGAGAGCCCTACGCTAAACCCCGTGAGCACAGCAGTAAGTTTGAAGAAGAGCTGCCGCCAATGCTACTGTCACGGCCACCACGACAACAACAACAACAGCTACTACTACTACTACTACTACTACTACTACTACTACTACTACTACTACTACTACTACTACTACTACTACTACTACTGTACTACTACTACGACTACTACTACTACTACTACTACTACTACTACTACTACTACTACTACTACTACTACCACTACCACTACCACTACCACTACCACTACCACTACCACTACTACTACTACTACTACTACTACTACTACTACTACGACGGCTACACTTGCATCTCGCCTCTGTTGCTGCTTCTGCCGCTACTCATTAGTTGAGATGCCGTCACGGCCCTGAATTCCGGAACCCCGAGAATCATAAATATTAGCCGTTGCTTCTCTTGAGGTCGTTGTGATGCTGATTTGTGCATTGCGCTTTGGATGCTTTGGACTTCAGGCTTTTTGTGTCAAAGAACACCGAACTGGGCACGCCCAGATCACCAAACCCTACCCCGGCGGTTCGGGGCACCGGGACTCGAAGCCCAAACCCAAGGAGTTTTGTTGTTTCGGATCTCGCCGAGCTGCCGAGAATCTTAACCGTGTGTCGAGAGAGATGCGGAAGGTTTTTGTTGCTTTTAGGGGGAAGTCTTTGCCGACGTTAAAAGTCCCGATGGAACGTGATGAAGGAAAGCAACCAGCATTACCACCATCTTCCACTTTCAATGCTTCTCGACCCGATTATATTGTGATAAGGCTACTGGGCTCTGCAGGACTCTTGGAATGTAGTGCCCGAAACAGTTCGAAGACAGTTGAGGAGTCTGTTGTGCTACAATTGCATGGTTCTGTATGCGTCGATCAGCCCTAAAGCCCTCGAGGCATCAACACCGAGACCTCAGACGAACGTTGGGATGTTGTGGTTCCGGACAGGGTGTAGGGCTTCACGGGTTTAAACAGGGTCAGGCACCTCTACACGGCAGACCCGAAAGAATGAACGCCCCAACCTGAATAACTCCGTCTGGTACTCCGGGTCCCCTTGCCCGGGCCTTAGACTGAAGAAGGTTCAGGACTCATCACCCAGCTCATGCTGTAAGTAAAATGCAGAAGCCCAGACTCGTCATCCCTGAACAAATGTTAAAGCTTCAAATGTTAAAGCTTCAAACCTCTTAGACCATAAGGGTTTTTCTAGAAGGAAGAGAGAGGCTGGTCGCTGCGAGTCAAGGAGGACTGTTATCGGTGGTGGAGTTTTGATCCAACCTCAATGTTCGAATGTTGGGGCTTTGTCGGATTATTGTCGGTGTGTGCGGTGGTGTAGCAACGTCCACGTTTGTGGCTGAATGTCAGGGGGGTATCGGGCTTCATGTTGGTCTCTGATTTCTTCACGGTACGGGTTTGCATTGCTTCACAGTGAGTGTTTTCGTTCTGTCGGAGTCTACGTCGTACATATGAGAGACTGGAGGAGTTTGCTCCGAGGGCTGCACTTGTTGCGGTTTCGCAGAATGTCATCTGGTTTGCTCGGCTTGGCTCTTCCAGAGTTTGGGTTGAGCGTCGGCGTGAATCACTTACCATAATGACGCTGTTGCAGGGCAACGGTGACAGAAGGGGAGGAGACTCAGCATTGCCGAGCATTTACGTCGAACTATTGCTTGAACTGGATCGTTGCTCGGTTCCCGTATCTAACGCACTAGCAGGCTTCAGAACCTTTCAGCCATGACATCCACCGACACCGCAGCCTCCAGCCTGAATTGACACTCCAACGCAAAAAAACTTACAAACCTTGAGGCCCCCAGGAATGAAAGCTTTTTCGGAGGAAGTCAACGACTGGATCCTTGCGGAAGACTATCGCTTCGGCGGTAAGACACGAAGTCGGCTAAGCAGCAAACCAGGCCTCAGGGTGCTACGGCTGTTCAGGCTGTGGGTATATGGGTATCGTGGGTCTCGGGACTTGCGAACAAGGACGAGGGATTTTAGGTCTAAGGAGTCTAAGGTTTTGGAATCTTGGGTTTGAGGACTCAAGGTCTAGTTTCTAGGGGTTCGGCTTTTAAGGGTGATGGGTTCCAAACCCAACGCCAAAGGCTGGGGCCTCAAGCTCTGAATCTAGGACCACAAGCTAGCCTATGAGTGTGAAGCTTCAGGACCCTGGCTGAAAGAGTTGGCAGGTTCGACAGGGCTAGAGCCTTGAACCGGAGCAGGGATAGTGGGAGGTAAGAACCCTTTAATTGTGCGGATAGCGACTACCCTGCTTCGTGTGGCAGGATTGGGAATAGGGGGTTTCAGGTAACCCCTTCTTTAGCGGAACCTCCAAACCTTGAAGCATTTCGATCTGCAAGAGTCTCTAACTACGGGGCCCGGGGTGTAAGTCAGACTGTTTGGATGAAGAGAGGACAAGTTGCATTTCGGGTATGGGGCTCTTGCAGGTTCAAGCGTTTCGGCGCGGATCCGGACTGAGGCTTCAAGCCCTGAAAACCCCAAAAGACCTGGGAACCATCCTGCACCCCCCCCCAATGCAAAATGCAAGAACACTGTTCAAAGCAGCACACCTCAGCAAACCCTTGACAGGAAACTCAGACCCATTTGGATTTGAAACGTAGTGCAGAGACCTCTCATAGTTACAATACGTTCCAAGAGCTCCATTAAGGCTGTCTACGCACAGTCTGCCTCCCTGGGAAAGCCGTTCTAAAGCCAGGTAAGCCCATGTTCCAGCTCGATGCCTTCCAGTCCTTTGCCCTCGGGGCGGGCCTGGTCATCGCTATCAACTCGGCGCTTCTGTTGCAAGGCAGGGCAGTCAGAAATCCTGGACTTCCAAGTCGAACAAAAAGAAGGTCTCTCGGATCCAAGGAATCTGATCTGAAGTCTCTGGGCGAAGTTTGGTCAGGAGGTCTTCGGATTTCGTTGTGGAGCTTAGGCATTCACACTTTGCCTATCCAAGAGGTTTCGTACTACTGCGGCCTTAAATTCACAAACCGGATCCAACGCCGGCTACAAAAGATCCCACAGATTAGGGTCTTGGGTCTAGGGGGGGCCCTCTGAAGCTTTTGGTGTCCAACTTCATTGAGGAGCCCTCCGAGCCGTCAGTCGATCTGCGACGTGGTGACGGGGCCCTAAGCCCGAGACGCCCCAAGCTCCCTAAAGCCCAAGCCTTGTTGGGGATCCACTCGGCGATTTTGTCAGGCTTAGGGCATGGCATCTGTAGGCTACTGTCAGCACAAGGCACGTGGCATCAGCAGAGTTTCATGAAACCCGGAGTTATGGCCACATGGCCGGCCTTTGGGATTGCAACAAACGAACCCCAAGCTGACAGGAATTTCCTTCGGATGCTATTGTAAGCGAGCAGCAAAAGGAGTACTGTACTGCTTATATTATGCCGGCCTGTGCTAAACCTTGAGCCGCATCCGGGGGAGGCAACAACCCGCTCTTCTTTGACCGGAGCGAGTTTGAGCAGCAGCTGAAATCGCAGGGACTCAAGGCCCCAGGGACAGGGGAGGAGTCATATTCTGCTCGACCTATCCGTAGGCGTAGTGCCAACATTCAAGACTGCATCAGGCAAATACGTCGACAGAGACAGCAAAGAGCACCAGGACGACGAGGATGGAGGCAGCGACAACAACAGCAACGGCAGCAGCAACAACAACAACAACAACAGCAGCAACGGCAACAGCATCTGCAACAGCACCAGCAGCAGCAACAGCAGCAACAGAAGCAGCAGCAACGAAAGCAGCAGCAGCAGCAGCAGCAGCGGCGGCACCAGCGCCAGCGGCACCGGCACCAGCACCAGGACAGCGACCAGCACCAGCACCAGCACCAGCCAAAAACAACAAATTCACGGCAGCAACTGTTGCTGCTGCTGCCACAGCCGCAGCGAACAGTAGGACGACTACTGCTCGGATTGCTACTACCAACAGTACCGCTCTTGCTCATACGACCGACACTGCTACTTACTTCACTGCTACGGCGACTGCTCCTGCTCCTGCTCCTGCTCCTGCTCCTGCTCCTGCTCCTGCTGCTCCTGCTGCTGCTGCTGATGCTGCTGCGGCTACGGCAACCTCTCCGGCTCCGGCACCTGCTCCTGCTTTGGTGGCGTGGTGGTGGTCGTGGTGGCAGTGTCAGAGAGGAAGATGTTGTGAATGATGGCGATGGTCACGGGAGTCAAGACTGTATCAACGCCGTTTTGCTATGGCCATCGCGATGGCGGCGGCACCGGCCATGATGATGATGATGATGATGATGATGATGGTTTTGCTGCTGATGATGATCATGATGATGATCATGATGATGATGATGATGACGGTACTGATGGCAGGTGCAATAGTTTGCTTGAACAAAGATCGGTTTCAGAAACCGAAGTCGTCATATTTGTGGGCCCAAGTCTTCGAGAATCCAGCTGCTCTGAGACAGCAGCGTATGCAAAGTCGGCCCCAGAACTAGAAGGCCGGCACTTAGACTCGACCTTTAGTTCCCAGCATGCCTTTGTATGACGGGGTGGTGAAACAGAAGAGAGCCTTCGAAAACAGTCAAGCCATATTCAATAGTAGGGGTGGGCCTCTTGCCTGTTCGAGTTACCCAGTTATGCATGCAAAGCGTCAGCCATCCGGGATTCGATGGGAAGGTTCCGGCGTCTTCGGCTTCCACGGCAAGCAAGTGAGGGTTTCGTAGAGTTTGGGCCGTTGGGGTGGAGCTGTAGCACCCAAACCCGGAGTTCGGAAGATCCATCCTTTCGCAGCGACATGGGTTTCCATTGAGTCCTAAACCCGATAACTGCGCATAAACCCAAATCGAGATGGGAGGCTTCAAAAGCCGACAAGTCCTAGCTTGGTGACTCCTCGGCTTATAGCTGCCCTGCACGGTAAACCCTAAATCCGGCTTCGAAAGAAGGCTGACTTGCAGATTCGGGGCTCAGCCGTCGCACGGCTTTGGGGAAGTCAGGCTAGTCAGCCCCCCGAGACCTTACATCTTCATAGGTTAGGGGCTTTGTTCGGGGTTGGCGCGGCTGGGATTGAGCAGTTGAACCGTTTTGAAAGTAGGTTTTATGAGGTAGAGGAACCCAGAGACTGCAAAAGCCCGGAGTCCAAAGTCAAGACGGATCAGTTTTCCGAGCCTGGACACAGCAGGCACATTTTCCCGCACCTGCAGCCTATCAGATGTCGGAAGAGCAAGGTAAAGCAGGTGGCTAGTACATCTCAAATCTGTTCAATGGGCTTCACTGTTAAACTATGATTCATTGTTACTATACTAAGGGTTGCTTCAAGAACATGGTTGCTATAAGGTCTGGTATTCCAATCATGCAGTATGTAACGGTTTCACCACAGACCCTAAACTGCACAGTGTGACAGCTTCGTCGTGTCCTAGTGTTCGGGATGATGTGACTTGCCGTGACGGTTTGAACCTCCGAATTTTGGCCCAGAGCTGAGGGTATCTCAAGGATGCAGGTGCGAGGGCAGGAAGGCAGGCTTGTCGCTGCAAGTTGCTGGTGATGTAACCCTGAAGCCCTTACCCTGTGCCCTAAAACCCGGAAAGGCCTTTGTTAATGAATGGGCAAAAGCACCCCTGAGCCTTAAACCCGGCACCCCAAACCACAAACCCAAACAGCCGAGGCCACCTTCTGGGTGCAAGCCGATGTTTGGTACACTAAGGCTCAGTACCTGTGGTTACTAAAGCAAGTTGAAGACTCCGGCAACCCTGAAAGGCAAGCATGGAGTCCAAGCTTTTCTTTGGGATCAGTCTTTGTCTGTAGGGGACATTGGAGCTCCATGAGGCTTACAACTTTTACCCATAAGGCTAGGCCGGAGAGCAGAAAGACACCCCATCATGAGAGCTTTCAATTCAGCTGCCGAATGAGTAACAGGCTGTAGGCTCCAGCACGCCGGGCCCGAAACCACAGAAGTCTCGAGCAAAGCAGAAATCTTTAGAACCTCACTGGCGACCTGCTCTTGAGAAGCTGCCAGACTTGCAGAATGTATCATTTGCCATAAATAAGTGAGCAGGGTCCACTGTTTCGGGCTGCATCTCTTGTTTTTGAGGCGGTGGAGTTGTGGTTACAGGTTTAGGATCTGGGGTCAAGCGTCCAGGGTGGGTTTAGGGTTTGAGGGCTCAGCCTTGCCGTGTGGCTGGAAGTGCCGTCCACTTCTTGGTGGCTATGCTCATTGAACGTTCCCAGAAACCATTCTCCAGGGTTTGAGGCTACCTGTGCTAAACCTCAGCACTCTGGCGCCCAAGCTGCCAATTCAAAGCCCTGAGCCCCTAAGCTCTCAATTGTACGTGAGGATTTTCGGGGCAATAAGCACAGACACAAGCTTTAGCAGGAGGTCAAGGCTGTGGCAGCCAGAACCCTGCAGACCCTTAAACCCTGCACCCTACCCCGCACCACAAATCCTAGGCCCTTGCAGCCAGAAGTTTGCCACAAACCTGCCAAGTTGTCAGCCTCTATGTTTTCGCATGCATTGCAAGCTGTAGTACTACTAATCACTACCCCGATGTCCTTCACACTCCAAGGTAGCTGGACAGGCAAGCCAAACCAGGGACCTACGTCAGTTGAGCTGCAACAACAGGTTCAAGCTTCCATCTTTCTCACCACCTTGTAGCCTAAAATCTTGAACCTTTCAACCCGTAAAGCCATCAAATCGAAAGCCCTTAGCAACCCTCAAAGCCTCAGACGAAGGAGCTGAAGGTAGTTGAAGGCTTACTTTGGAGCTCGGGGTGTATGCTAACTGTGGCCCGATGTCCTGCATTGCTTGAAGAATTTTAACTTACACCCGGAACATGTGCTAGAAGTGTCCAAACCCAAATTAGCGAGGATCGATGGCTGGTTGCTGCTAGGGCTTGTACAACAGCCATGAGCCAGAACCGAAGTAATCTCTATCTTCCAGACCTTGAGTCCTTGAGAGCCATGGGCTGCATGCCGACTCGGCAATGAAAGCCACAACCTCGGAGCTTGGCCCGTGCGTGAGGGATGGCGGCTCCCTAGACCCACACACTGCACCCCAAACCCTGAACACAACAGTAAATCCCGATCCTAAGCCCAACGCGCTACGTCGATTAAACCCATCGCCGTTTGCGATCTAGTTTCCTGGAGACTCGTGCTTGGTTTGAGGGCTTTAACACGTGGACCCTATGATCATGATGCCTGTCGAGGGAAGATGATGTCATTTTTTAAATTACCAGTCAGGCTGGTCTTGGGTGAGGCAGCATCGAGCCCCAAACCAGATAGACACGTGTGTAGGACCGCAAGATAGGATTCGGTTTCTAGATTGAGGGTTAAGGATCTACAGGGCTTTAGGTTCTCCTGGGATGTAGGGCTTTGGGGCTATGGGCTTTCTGGGACGCAGGGATAGGGCTTAGGGATTGAAATCGAGTTTCAGGTTTAGCAGAGAAATGTGAAGTCAAAAAGAAAACTCTGCGGCTAGGGCGCTTTGTCTTTGTGTCCGCTGAAAGCGTCAAACTCTTCGAGGTCTTCCTCGCAGTCCCGTTGCCACATGGCCTTCGCTGCAGAAAGACTGGTTTCAGGTTTGGGGAATCAAGAAGTGGGCTCTTTCCGTTCTAGGGTTCAGTGGAAGCGTGGATGAGGTTCCCAGGTCTTACAGCCACCAGTGCTCCCAGCGAGGCGAGACAAACTCCGGTCCTCTCAGAGCACATTGAAAACGACAGTTCTGGTTTGGTGACAAGACAGGACAGCAGCAAGAGGCGTTTCAGGAGTAGGATTTTTCGACTAGAGACACATTGAGCCACAGCCACGGAGCATCGTCTAGTGATGGAAAAGGTGGCGAGCTCAAGAAGCATGTAATCTCATTGACTTCGGATTAACTAAGCACTGAACACAGTCCGCTTTTGTTTAACGGCGCCGGAATATTGGGATCCCTATCATTAGCCGATTATGCTTGTATTGGGAAGGTGGTTAATAAATGATTGGTCTACGGTTACGTTTAGGGATTAGCTGCAGTAGCTTTGGTTGCTGCCATGGCGGACAGTGGCACGGTGCAAACTACTTCAGCCACAGAGGCTGCTGGGCGGCAAAATCAATCCTCAGCTCAAAGCCCTGCTTAAGCGGGAAGCCGTGAATCCCCTACGCACTCGAGCCCCACACCCTAAGTGGTGTTGAACTCTATAAGTCCTTTGGAGCAGCATTTGATGTCACCCATGGGCTCAAGTTCATGAAAGTGCCCCTGCATCACCCTACCTGTCGGCTGGGACGTGCTGCCTAAGTGTTATGATATGAACCCTACAGGTCAAATTGCGTCAGTCAGTCTGTTTGTCTGTCTGGTGTCTCACTGTTCACATGACATGCACAGAGACACACATCCACCTCGCGCCATGAAGGTATTTGCTTTTTTGAATCAAGCTATCTTTATAAGTGATTACGTATATGTTGATTCGGCCGCGCACGCACGTGTGTGTGTGTGTATGTTAGTCATCAGGCGTCTTGCTTCATGTATCAACAGAAAATGAAGTTCGACATGTACACTACCGTACGAGTTTAGGCGATAATCTGTTTCTTGCTTTGACGTGGGCTTTCGAGCGAGTCTAGGAAGCAAAGAGCCACGCAAGTTTCAGACATGTATAGGTGTTTCAACACTACGAACTCTTACAAAGCATACTTAGGCCTGTTGCGTCGAAGCTTGCATTTGGAATTCTAGGTTGGTCTGAGTTGAGTTGAGCCTAGGGCCTAGGACCATCCAGTGCCTCAGGATGTTCCGACCTTATGTTTCAGATTCGGCTTCCGAGTTGCGGCTTTTTGGTCAGGATTTCTTACGCAGGGTAGGATCCTGCATCAATCTCTCCAGGACCGTGACTGGCCCTGGAAGGGGTGTGACCATGGGGCTCCCCCAACCGCCAACTTAATCTGAGATAAACTGTCTCAGTTCTAGGCCACAGACCAAAAACGAAAAACCCGAAAGACCATTCATCTGAGCCTTGACAGCCCTGGGTTCTGTGCCAAGACGAAACCGGTGGTAGCCGACACGACCGAAAGGCATTCCGTGTCTCAGCCCTTCAGGTCTTGCATTTCGCGGGCACTAGACCTGGATTTACGGTTGAAGGTTCAGGCGTTTCGGGCGTAGACTTAAATCCCAAACCCCGGCCGGGTGCAGTTTCCAACGACACAGGCTTAGAAGCTTCAGGCATCTTTGATCATAATCTAGTGAATCAGGTTGGGTCAGCCTTCCGTCTTCAAGAGTTCAAAACTTTCCAGGCTCTGTGAAGCCAGAGAGCTAAGCA